CTTCAATTTTTATTTTTTACTAAATATATGGTAATAAGAATTATGATTTTGAAAAGCAGAATTTCAAGTAAACCGTGAAAGAAAAATTACCATATAAATTATTCAAATTCTGCATATTTTGGTTTTATTACCAGAATTAGGGTTTATTTTTACCAGAAATGTTATTACAGTACGGGAACTTAACCAGAATATTATTCTCTGAGAAGTAACATAGATATTATTTAGATGAAAATTATTTCTTTTTCAATATTTCATAATATTTTTTTATTATTTTAAGTATAAAAATATTTAATAATATTGTGTAAATATTTTCTTAAAATATATTTCTTTATGTAAAATTCAATAGTGAATAAAAATTTTCTTTAAGTCACGTCATTTAATTTTAAGCAATGACCTACTTTAAGTTTAAATTTATTAAAAAAATGAGAAAAAAATATACTACATATTATAAATGTGCGTCTTTTTTATTTATTAATTTAAAATTGAAAAGTACTTTTATTCTGAAACTATTATAACTGTCTTATAATCAAATAGATACATTTCAGTTTACATTAAATGAAATTTCCCGTAGAGATTATCATTCGTTTCCATTTCAGCAAAAAAATAAAAACTAATCCTTAAAAAAATGATGAAATAAAAGATAAAAAAATTGAGGAAAAACATAAATTTAAAATAATTTGGCAATTTATGTTTTTAAGTTTGTAAAAACTTTAAAATGTACAACCTTTTAGGGAAAAGGTTACACTTTTATTTAATTAGTAACGTTTACATCATGAAAACTTGTTTTTATATATTTTATAATATATATAATGCATTCAATATGCGTAACTGCGTTTTGTTTTGTATATAAATGTTTCCATCGTCTAGTTTTGTTTAAATGTTTCCATGACTATTTTACTTTTTATTACCCCTTTATACTGTTATCAAACAATAATGTTTGTAATTTTTTTATTATCTTTCATTATTATATAAAATAGTTTCAAATAGAAGGAAATAAAATGAATAGGCATTTTAAGATTATTATGATGATTATTCATGATGATTATGTGATTGTTAAATGTTGAAAATCATTCGAAATACAACTAAAACTTGTAACACTTCAGTCATTGATGCACTGACAATTGAGTTGAAAATTGAAAGAAGTGCTTACATTAACTTCCCAAATGACTTAATAGACTCTATTGAGACATATAAATACATGGTATTATTCTGTTTAAGCTATGCTGTGAACTCAGTTTAGGAAAGAGAAATAAGGAGGAGTAACTTTCGGGGTCGTAGGGCCCGTATTTGCCTGAAATCGGCAACAGCCTTATAAACAAAATCCAGACAAAAGAACTGTTTCTGTGAAATTTCAGACAATAGAAAAACAAAAAGCTGTTACATTATGTCATTTATAGAGCACGCTTACAAGTTTCGGTGTCTAAAGAGCTTTTAACACCAATTATATTTTTGCAATTAGTTGCAGTCTTGATAACACAATTACGTAGATGAACTATTTAAAAAATATTTTCATTTGAATGCTGTTGCATTTATATTCAATAACGAATACAATATCCAATTATTGTACTCGTATTTAACTATTATAGTGCCATTTCATTCTTTTTTATGCATTTTAATAGAAACGTTTAACAGCAATATTATGTACAGAGTCTTGATGCAATTTTTTTTCAAACACTGAATTATATGTTTATTCCTCTTATTCCATTTAAAAAAAGTATCAAAATTAAATAAAATTAAATTTTTTTTAATAATTAATTAAAAAATTTCTTTTAGTCTATACAATAACTAATAAATTTCATGACGAAATATAGCTTGTTATATAGGTAATTACTTGTTATAAAGCTAATAAATATTCTAAAACTATGCATGTTATTTTAATTTCGTAATTGTTAAGAAAATTAGATTTAATAAAATAATTTTGTTTAGCTGGTTTAGATTTAAAAGTTTGAGAATCAACTGCACAAATAATAGACCCATCTCGTAATACGTTACTCACTATGTAGCTTAAAATTGCAGTAATATGAACTATGCCAGACATTTTCTTCATAAAGCCGCTTATGAAGATTTACTCTTACAAAGATTGAACTTCATAAAGTCGCTTCATAATTAATGAACACGCTCTACAGTAAAATATAATATTTTATAGACTTAATGTGTTATTAAATAAAATTGTATCGAAGAAGTAAAAGATAAAAGCAAAAAAAATATTTTATTAAAAAAATTAGTTTATAGATGGGGTGAATTACGTTTTTATCGAACTCGTTTTTTAAACCAAATTATTCGTATGAAGCATTTTAGTCGATATCTGGAAAGTGATTTTCCCTCCTCTGCACAGTAGGCCAGCATCCAAGGTTTCGTGGCCAAAATTAGTATTTCGGTAAAATTTGCTTCAATATTTGGGGACTTTTATTTAGGAGTTTTTATATGCAGGTAAATTGAATTCATAGTTTAAATTTTGAAGTACACTAAAAATACCCACAAAAAAAATGGCGGCTGAAATATGGCGACCAAAAATAAAAATAATAGTACGTTTAAATAATTAAATATAGCAATGAAAATATACTAATTTTTGTAATTTGGGAGCTTACAAAATTACGCAAATTTGTTACAAAATAACGCGAAAACAAGAAGAAAAAAACAAACAAACTTTATTTTTCGGTATATTTAGTCCACCTTTGCAATACAGGCAAAATGGGGTAGGTTTTTTCGAAAGAAGAAACATCAAAGAAAACAACAGAAAAAAGTTTAGCTAATTACCTCGTGGAACGTTTTGGAACTAAGTATCTAAAGTCATTCAAACATTGTAAAATGTCAAATGTTAAGATATAAACTATAAGTTTGTCAAGAGTATTAACAAATTGAAAAATTGTACTATAATTTCAGACTAATTACTCTGATAAAAATGTAACACTAAGGTGAAATTCCTATATATATTTCTGAAATAAAAATTTAAAAGTTACATTTAAAAAAAAATTATTTTATCATATTTTTCATAACCTTGTATTCTCGTCGGTCCAAAAAGTAAATGATAATGTTTGGAATGATTATGAATACTTAATTTGGGCTATATTGAAACTGCCTACACATATCTTAGTTGAAAATTTAATTTTTGACTTTTGGCCAAAGATCATGGTCTTCTGGCCCACAGTGCTCTGTATTTGGGAGCTAATTTATTAATTATTTTTCTTCGTACTTTTTTAGCCCTTTTTTTATTATTTCATATTACTTTTCACTTGCTTATTTATTTCATTATTTTATAAAACCACTTTTTTTAATAGGCGAGTTTTTCCAAATGTGGATAACACATTTCTAAACAGTTCAATAATTTTCAATAAAAATGTTGTTGTATCAGTATAAAGTCTTATTAAGCATTTCACTGTTACGAAGTTTTTCTTGCACATTAATTAGTTCTTTATTGAAATAAAAACGATACACGTATATAATGTATTTATCTGAAAACAGTACGTACCTGAAACATTCAAGGACTAATATGATACAAATTTCTAAATAAAAATAATTAATTATCAAATATTTTATTGCATGCGTCGCAAAAGATAACAGAGTAATATAACACACGACTTAAAATATTATTTTTTAAAACCGGTTTAAAAACGTATCAATGAAGCAAACAGCTAAAAAATTCTGCATTAGCAATCATCAAAATGTTAAAAAAAATGTATTTGACCAGTTAAAAAAAATAAGTGCATTAAAACAATCACGTCTGCTAATTGAGTTGAAAGTAAAATGTATACTTTAAGTCAAATAAGTGAACATTTTAAATGATTACAAGCTATTAATTGCTTATAATCGATTACAATTCTAATAACTTGTATAAGTAATCATGTTTATTGATCATAATTTCAACCATAACTGTGAGGAATAATACTTAACAATTGTAATCTTAGTTATAATTAGCACTAAATACTAAGTAATAATTATTTAATATTACAAGTAATTATGATTACCTCGATAATAATTGCAATAACAGTTTCACATGCAAATAATCATGAGAGCATTTAATCTTGAATACAGAGTAATTAATTATTGTAATATATTATTTTACCCAACCGAGCTCAATATGTTGAGTACGAGATTTTTTTTTTCAAAAAATTGTAGTGCGAAAGACAAGCTAGACTCATTTTAAAATTTGTTTTAATTTAAATATATTAAATTACCAAGAAATATTACATTTAGACATGTGGATGTAATATAAAACTACTTCAACTTTTGGAGATCCTCCGTAATACCTGAATGTAATTTTAAACTGACATTTTGGTTCATGTTTCTTTAAAATAATATTTATTAGGCTGTTTCTCTTTTAAAAATCTTTATGTTTTGATCCTCTTAACAAATTTTCACTAAGTAAAACCTGCAGCGAGTAAATCACTAGATAATAATTAGATTTTTCGAGCACGATCCTTTTTGTAAAATTGTTTTCTTCAACATGAAATAAGTAATTTTGACATCAAAATTTTTAAAAGGCCAACATTTAATTAATAAAGCAAACAAAAAAATTTTTTAGTAAACCTATAGTCACTTTTTCTTTCAAAAGTCCATCCCATGTGCATCAGAATACGTGCCTTCGACTTCTCGTATTATTATTTCATCATTATAAATACAGTAATAGACTTTGTAAGGAATGAATTTTATTTTTGTAATAAATTTCATTTTGTGTTGCATTATTGTTGTTAAAAAATATACAATTCATAAACTTACTTACAAAAGTTAGGAAAATTTTTCTTCATTTCAGTTACAAACCCTATATTACCATATTTTGAGAAAGGATTCAAAAGAAATGTTTTGAATCAATAGTTTTTTTAATAGTTTGATATGTTCAATTTAAGGAAAAAAAAGTTCATATGTATTTAAAGGGGGCTAACATTGAAAATTCTACTATTGGCCATTAGCCGATAATAAAATTTCTAAATTTTGTCTTAGAATCATAAGAATATATGCATGCCTTTTTTTTTTTTTGCTTTGAACTAAATAAACGAACTCACCTGTACCACTCTAGGCCCCTTTGGTAATGCCTATCAAAGAAGTGAGTTTCTGGTCCGGACGCCCTGATATCAGGATGAACTCTCAAAAATTCTAAAAGTGCTCTGGTGCCACATTTTTTCACACCAATAATCAAGGCTTGAGGCAATCTTTTAACGGGTGGACTAATGACACTCCTTTTTCTCATAGGTACTATTACGTAACTATTGCTTACAGTGGTGATAGTGGATGCCACAGGTAAGGAATTAAAATTAGTTGATGATTCACTATCATTTGGCTGGTTTTCATAATTATTTGATTCAACTCTTTCTTTAATACCTCTTGGTAACCATGCTTTCACAACATATTGGTCAAGTTCTACAGTAGGTGGAATAGACTGGGGAGAAGTCGTTGGCGATGTTATTTCACTGCCGTATGAATCTGATTTCACAAAAGTCGTTGAGACTTTATGCTTTTTTGTTCTACTTGGCGATGCTAGCTTTATGTTGGATTCTGAACTAATTGTTTTTGCAGTCACTAAGCTTGGTTTTCGAGTGGGACTAATAATCCAATCATCGGCAGATTGTGCTTCTAATGTACTTTTATGCTTGAGTTTAGGGGGATAGTTTGTTTCTTTGCTTGAAAATTTAAAGTGCATTTCACTTTTTGCGTTGATATAATTCAAGTTTATGTTGCTATCTAATTTCTTGTCTGATTCTATAGACATCTGTTTCAAAATGCCTGTTTCTGGAAGTGCAGGATAATTGTTGAAAATATATTCTCCGTACATATTTGGTCTACAGCATAAAATCGTGTACCAAGAAAAACATGCGAATAAACTACAAAGTCCGATTGCAAGAAACAAAACATGACGTAGACTACGACGACGCTTAAATCTACGCTCTAACATTCTTCCAATATTGTATTTAATAACAAAATTTGTTCTTTTCTTTTAATGTATCATACTTATTATATACATTTACTTTGCGAAAATAACTATTGTATGCATTTGAAAAAAAACTCAATTTATAATTTGATTCATGGTTTACTTATTTATGGTTTGATAATTTACAATACTAACAATTTCTTAACTAGTGGTAAAAAATCATTTATACAGTTAATTAAAAATCTAGATTTTTTTATGCTATGTATCCCAAAATCTGAAAATCAGAAGTTTACTACTGAAAGGAAATAGGTTCTTAAATTCAGCATGTTAATTTGAAAAATGCACTTTTTAGTCATTTAGAAACATGAGAAAAATAATGATTTCGTGTCCAGCCAGACTAGATTTGTGCCAATTTTTACGCCAAAACGACCTGCCCATTATTAGCATGAAATATGTAAGAGATCTTCCTCGTTTGAAAAAAATCATAATAAATTGCTTTATTGTTTTGCTCGTGAAAACTTCACTAAATTTTCTTTTCCTTTCTTATTCGCAAAATCTCTATCATTATAATGAATAGTTATTTTCTTTTGTTCCTCAGAATGAATGACTTCGTAGAAAGAGATTGAAAATCTCTACAAAAAGAAATCCTTTTTTACTGAATTACAAAGTGACATTTTTTTTTTCGTTCTTTGACGACAAAAAGTTACTTAAATTTTAAAGTATGATACTGAAATATTTAATAAACACTTTTAGAAAAATATTTAAAATATTTTTTTATAAGTTTTTGTATGATATGTTAGATTCTAGGTTAAATAACTTTAAAAAATCCCTTTAAAGGTTAACTAGAAAAAATTTAAACATTTGATTAAGTATAATATTTGGTTATATTTTTTTTTTAATTTTCATTTCCTTTCAGCCAAATCACATTTCAACATTTTTTTAATATTTCAAATTAATTATAAATTTTTATTTTTCTTAGTTATTATGAAGAAATGGTATATATTTTAGTAAAAGCTTCGAATTTCATCATAAATCTTTTTGATACAAATTTAAGGACAAAAATCCCGGATAAAAGTTTAAAAACAAATTTTTATAAGATTCAAAACTGAAAAAAATAAACAATAAAAACTTTTCTTGCTATCGAACATTCGCATAACCTAATATAAATAAACTCGTTAATTTCGGATTAAATTCAAGTTAATACTACAAAAATGTCTTTCCTTAAATTTTGTAGATTTAGTCACGTGGCATAACAAACGCTTCACAAATTACCCGTCACTCACCACACCACCTCCGTCACCAAGTGTGCCAAAAATTGACTCGCTCATTAAAAGGAAGAGTCATGACTGCTACCGATTGTTGGCAGGAGTGTGACTGCCTGTGACCTGAGGATGCATCCCGAGTTAAAAGCTCGACAACCATCCCGAGTGTGCCTAGTGAGGGAATTTGCGCAGCGCCCCCCGGTGGTCAAAACAAGAATGGTGTGTAATAGTCATCGATCTTTTAAAAAGAAAGTGTGATTGTATCAGGATAGATGGATTGAAATCCTCACACGAAGTGATATTATTAAAAACTCGCGTCCGTTTAAAAGAAGAAAAGTTTTTTGCTTACAGCCGATTTAATTTTTTTAACATCACTAAAAAGGGTCTGAAATTCACCCATTGTTGAAAAATTATAAAATTAAAATTTTTTTTTTAAAGTACGTTTTTAATATGACTGAAAATATGAAGGCTCGATATTTACATTTTCTGCTTTATTTCAAATAAAATTGTCTTTCCTTTAATTTTTCTTCAGCATTTCTGGTTGAGGTGTTTAAAAAGATGTGAAATTTCTAAAAACAAAATTTCATATATTTTCTATTTATTATTTGAAAAAGTTAAAATGAAATCTAAATATTATTTTAAAAAATTTTCGGAAAACAAATGCAAGTAAAATAGGTAAAATGTATGCTAATTTCCTACAATTACCTTTTTATCAATTTTATGATATATCATCTTAAAATAATCATGGTATATCAATATAATGAAAAATGGTACATCAATTTTATGATATAGGGGAGAGGGGGGCACATGTGAACAGGGGGCACATGTGAACAGGGTATGTTTTACCAATATGATTTGAAATAAAAAACCTCGAAAAATTTTCAATTGATGGCAGTACTAGTCCTACCTCTCTGAAAAACTTTCAGAACAATGAGACATTTTGTTGGTCTATTCTGACAATTTCTTTGTATCAGCTGGTGTTGCATATATTATAATCNCTCAATACTTACATTTTCTGGTTTATTTCAAATAAAATTGTCTTTCCTTACATTTTTCTTCGGCATTTTTGGTTTAAGTGTTTAAAAAAATGTGAAATTTTTAAAAACAAAATTGCATTTATTTTTTAATTATTATTTGAAAAAGTTAAAATAAAATCTAAATATTTTTTTTAAAAAAATTTCGGAAAAGAAATTAAAGTAAAATAGGTAAAATGTATGCAAATTTCCTACAATTACCTTTTTATCAATTTTATGATATATCATTTTAAAATAATCATGGTATATCAATATAATGAAAAATGGTATATCAATTTTATGATATACCATTTTTGCCGGCCAGGTGGCCGAGCGGTTAGCGTGCCTGACTGCGAAGCCATAGGCTGAGGGTTCGAATCCCGCTCTGGGCATGGATGTTTCTCTCTCTCTTTGTGCTGTCCTCTGTTGTGTGTGTGTATGATGTGTGAATGTGGCCCACCCTATAAACGGGTTTGTGGCAGTGTGGCGTGGGCAACGTTGCTGGCTTCCGTGACTTTGGTTCACAGGTGCCCACTGGGTAACGCGAAATGAGCAACAATTCTGGCATAGTATAGGCAAAGATACAAATTCAGTGCCTGCCATTGGAGAAAAAAAAATATATATACCATTTTTTTTTTCTAAGTTGTTAGAAAGCTCATGACTTTTTTCTTAAATTTTTAAAACATTTTAGATTCTATTTCTGTATGTGATGAACTTTCAAAATTCGCATAACACTCAAACTTAATGAAAAGTCCTCCAAATTTATTGAATGATGTTTTATAAAAAAGTATTAATCAGAAAATTATTTTAAAAATGGGATCATGTCCGGAAATTCAAAGGTAAAAAAAAGTATCATCACTCCAGGAAAATCAAGAAAATTTATCTTCAGAAAAATACGGGCTACGTGATCCTGAATCACCTTTGCTGCCTTTCTTTTGCATTTCATTTTTTCCTTCGTTCAATTTTTTATTCTTATATGTACTTTTTGTGAATCTAAAGTAGTTTCCATCATCACATAAATTTATTAACTTTTGTGGCAAATAATAAATAATAAGTTCGCCAGAGTTGGTCACATCATAACTACATCCAGCTCTCGTGCCATTAAACTGCATTCTCTTTCAATATTATATGTCTTTTGATTTCTTTTGTTTTCTCTTTCTTCTTCGTTTATTTCGTTTGCGCTGTTAAATGGTGCTAGTATTTATTTTTATTAAGCCAAATTCATAACCTCTTAAAGTTGATTTATTTTGAATTTTGCGTAATATTGTGATCTTGTAAAATTAAATATAACTTTTAGGTCGATTCAAAAAGTGAAATTACCTTATTCACAAACTTTAAATTTTTTTATTTTAATTGAAATGAACTAAGATTGGAATAAAAAAAAATTTGGAGCTGTACTTTGAAGCAAAACTATTTTTCATGAGTTCATAAATTGATTAGTTTTTTTTTCTTCAAAATTTTTTTTCTTCAAAAATTTACTTTATTCCAAAGTGTCTTAGCGCCTTTTTCTACGTTAAAGTTTTTCTCATGTCTTTCTATTTGGTTTTGAGTTTATAATTATATCAGGCTAGTCGCAAATTATTGTAAGCTTTATACCTAGTCTTTGAAATTTCTAGATTATATATATACCTAGACTAGAAAAATTTCGTGTGTCACCCATGCTTAGGAACACAAACTTTTAGGTATCTTCTTCTAATAAAGACAAGTTATAATAGTTTTGAATAAATGAATTAAGTCAAATGAAAGAAATTTTATGCACAAATTCAGGTTTAATCGGCAGTCAAATTTTCTCGTATTTTGCAACAGACATTCATAGTGGTTGTGTAATTAATTCTTTAATGAATTAATTCAGTTCACTAACTCATATAAAGCTAACAACCTCGATATGTAACTAATTAGAGTTTTTATAGTAATGTGTTGTTACATTAACGTGATAGTAAATTTAAGCAAATTTTTGAGCGATTATACAAAATGATTTACTACCAATGATTTATTCGCTAACATTTCAAGGCAATTAAGTTAATCATTCTTCTTTTTCTTTTTTTTACTTAATTCTTTAATTTAGTTCGTGTTTGCACGGTATAAAAATTCCTCAATCTTGTGACATTAAACTTTACATTATACCAATCAACAACCATTTTTATACTAGATTCTTTAATTTGGTTCGTGTTTTCCACAGTAAAATAATTGTCCATTCTTGTGCCATTAAACTACCAACCAATACATTGTACCATAAACAACCAACTTTGTATTCAACTAAGGTGAGCCAACAGCTTTAACTTTAACCACCAACCCACTAAGTCGAATTTCATGTGACTTCTGAAATAGCATATGAAAATTATTGTGACAGGAGTATCTAAATTATATAGTTAATTTGCATAATATCAGAAGATATGTTATAACATAGTCTGTACTTTTTTTAATAATAAAACCATTATTATTTTTTCCTATAATATTATGATAAATGTGAAGTTAACAATCAACCGATAAATACACCGAATATAGTAAAAAAATTCCCCTTTCCTTTTCTGCGTTTGCGCTTTCCGGTTGATATCATTAAGCCTAACGGTTCTAAGAAACAAAGTTTCTGCAGTCAAATAATCGCATCTTTTGTTCTGGGCGTTACTTTATTCTTTTTTTCTCCTTCATACTTCTTTTCTGCCTTATATATCATCTAAGAAAGGTGATAAATGGCGTTGTTTCTATAGTAACCATTACAATGACGGAAATCAAATTGGAAGACTTCGTGAATGTTTCAAAGCAACTTATTAATGGATTTGTTCTTAACTATCTGATTAAGATGTGTTAAAATGTAGAGCAATTATTCTTCCATTTCTTTTTCTTTTAATATTTTTTTAAACTTTTTATGAATGCATTCTCGTTGAAAGTAACTCAAAAAATAATGATCAAAGTTTTATTTGTATTCGTATGATTAGATTCAATGAAGCATTCATTTCATTGAATTCTTAAAAAAAGAAAAAAAACAATTTAGTTATTGAATATGTAGTTTTTGTTATATCAGACAATGTAGTTCATAATTAAAAATGATTTTTTGTTCTAAACTGGTTAAACTAGTGAAATATACCAATAAAATTTATAATAATAAATTTATAATAATAAAATTTAAATAACAGTCTACATTTTAACTTTAATTTTATAATGAATGAACAACCATACTTTTTTTTGACTTTAAAAAAACAGGATTAAAATTATTTTTCTGTTTTTTTCTACATGAAATTTTATCTGCAAAGCTAATTAAAATGCTGTGGCAATAATAAAACCAAATAAGAAGATTTTTTAAAGCTTCAAAGCAGTTTATTAATGATCTTCTTCTTAACTATCTGACTGAAACATTTTGGAATGTATACTTTCATTTTTCCTTTGTAACAAGGTTATTTTTCATTTATTACGAATGCTTTCTTTGAATGTAATACAAAACATGTTATCAACTTTTTATTTGTATTAAGAGAATTTATGAAACATCTTTGTTTCAAAAAATTCATTAAAAAAACCCCTAAATTATTGAAACAATATAATTTATAAATTTTTATATTTACTAAAAGAGTTTTAATAAACTAGCTGA